TTCGGTAACTTAAAGAATGATATGAAACCTTTTGTTGGTCATTTCATTTAGTACCTATCCATCTAAGCAACAGTTATAGTAGGAACGATGTTTTGCTATTATAATTTATCAAATAGGTAATATACATCAGTGGCGAAGCTTCCATTAAAGCCGAAAAGCCGGGCTTGCCTTATTAAACCTGAATTCATCAATAATATCAACTTACTAATAAAATAACTCGTAAAATGTTGCAAGCTATTTCAAATTTCCCGCGCACTCCACTGTTCGACACATGTCGACCGATGACCTCGTATTGCCTTAGCGATACTGCTGCTGTCATAAAAAATGAGTTTTAATAGAGCTAATAGTTGTCTCCCTCGCTCGCGTGGGCTTTTTACGGGGCTTTCGAGAAGACGATCGCTCTCTTTCTAACCTATGGCTAAATATTCTATAATGAAATATAACTACGATTGTATATATAGCAATTAGTATAGAGATTTAAAGCCAGGCTTTTGGGAATAAATTTGTTAAAAGCGGAGGCGCGCGGGCAATACGTTTGCAAGTTCATTTCACGTTTCAATTTTTTTTTACTCTGTGTGCTTATCTTAAACGGTTTAATATTACGAGTTCAAAATTTATGCTTTTTTAAAGATTTTTAATGAAAATGGAGGATAATAGTGTTCCTTGTGATGAATTGAAGTGTGTTAAAGTGATAATCGGAGAGGAAATCTTTAAACTTTGTTGAGATAATACACAAGTTAAGAGTGTATTTCAGACTTAATATCAATTATCGCAATTAAAACCAGTTGTTGGTACAATTAAAACGTTCACCAACATTTTACGTGAACGTAAATTAAATCTTTCCATAAGAAAGCGAGACGATTCCACTTATCTTATCTTATCTCTTATCTATTAGAATGTAAATAATTTTTTTTTAATTTTGTACATAGGTTGTTTGTACTTTGTTCGTGTTTTACTTTTGTTCATGTATTGTATTGGATGTAAATATTTTTTTCTTTCGCTTAAACAAACCCAAACGGCTTTCTTCGCCACCGAAGCTATGCAATTGCAGATATGTAATACAATCTATCTAGCAGTGATATGCCTTCTGTGTGCTTTGTTAAACACGTCCTTGACAGTACTGAATATGAAACTGAAGCGTGGAGACAGATCAAGATTGGTGTATTTTTATAAAACTGCTAAAAACAACAATCTATATTTTATCAATTTATATCTTGGGCTTGCCCTAGCTTGGAGCTCTAGCTTCGCCACTGATATACATATTATATAATTTTAAAATAGGTAGATTAAAACTTTTACAACTATTTTACCTACAATTAAATATACTAAACACTAAATACTATTTCAACAACTATTTACATAAAACTATTTACCTTAAAAGCGTTAAAAAACTTTAACATTCAATCGCCTCCAACGCGTTAGCCCTGACTGCGTTATTTCGCCCGGGCGCGTCGCGATTTTAGGTAATTATTTCACGTAGGTAGCAAGAGTGATAGAGGCCTGGTACTGGTGACGACTCCACAATCAGATCGCCCGGAGGCGGGTGATTTTTGCCGATCGTCCGTATTGAGCGACCGGTTCTGAACTTCGAAGCATCACATATTTTCATCATCGAGCCCCGAAACCAGTACGCTTCCCCTTCCGGATCAATACGATGCTTTTTCGGCGGCTGGAGTAACTGTCTGAAGGATTACAACATCTCATCACAGACATCATTAGAACAGTCGCCCATTTAAAATCCGCAATGGATTTTTAATGCCATATATAAATTTTTTGAAGTGAAAACTTCTTTAGCATCGTTTTGATTTGAAAGTCTATGAAATAAAAAAGCGACAGTAAAAAGAGACAGACTCATAAATACATAAGATGGGAGAAAAATGATATAGGAAGCATTATAGCTCAATGCTCGCGAGAAAAAAGTCGTAATCGCTTACGCGTTTCGTTCAACAAGTTACGAAAGTGTCATGTCCCTATGGAATAAATAAGCAGTGAAAAACGGCCAAACCTCAACTTCGTAATAGGTAAAATTGAAATAAATCTTTTTGTAATTAGTGAGTACTATATAAGGTATATCGAAAAGAGTATAAACATTCCCTGTTCCGTAATTATAAAAGTACATTAACAATGTCGAGGACTTTTTTAGATATTTTAAAAATTAAAATATGTCCTTTAAATAAAATAAGTAATAAAATAAATGAGTCCAAGTAATACTAATTTGAATAAAAAAAGAATCATCAAATCCGGTAGGTAGGTAGTTTCGTGCGTTTTCCATCTGTATGGTTCACTTTTCATAATCAACGATTTTCATATGAAAATATCAGCCACGTGGCAGCGGCAGTAAACAGTAAAAACATTAACAATTAACCATATCGAAAAAAAACATTAATAAAAAATTCAGGCCATCTAGCATCTATTTTACATACCACCTTGGGTGTCAATCAGTTATTCGATAAAGAGACTACCTATACAATGTAAAAAGGTGGCGCTATTATAATTTTACCCGTAAGAAAATATAATATCTATATGTGTCTAATATATATATATATTAAAAGTTTTGTTACATTTATTTACTATAAAATTAAATATTCTTATATTTTATGCTGAACTTGTAGTTTAAATTATTAATATTAAAAAAAAACATTTGCCGTAAAGTATTATATATTTCATTGATATTTCATTCCATTTGAAGGTTTCACTTCTGTCGCGTGAGAGCTGCACGCATGTGTTTTTTAGAATAACAAGGCCAGGGACCGGAGCAGGGCCACGTTCTCACAGAATGCCAGCGTAAAATAGCAGCTTAATACTGATGTGTTTCGTTAATGAGTGTAAAGAACCGGAGAACCTTTTACTGGAAACGAAGCATTCCATCTAACTCCTCAGGGGTGATAACTGATAACGCATCTGCCTTTCGATTCTTTATTGAGGATAAATGTAGATGTCCATAGGCCACAGCAACCACTTACCATCAGGTGGTCTGTGTGCTCGTTTTGTCACGTTTATTCTATAAAAAAGGCATTTTATAGTTTTCTATAAGCGCTGAGTTTGTAGAAAGTGAACCTAGCTAACTAAGCTGTGCCCACAACGTCATCGAGGAACCTCGATGACGCTGAAGACCTAGCTAGACTGACGGAGGAATCAAAAAGACCTCTTCTATTTCTACCCATAGCACTCTTTACTCTATGCCAAACAATGGTTTATCAAGACTACCCTGGTATTAGTTTTGTCACTGCATTGCATGTGTTCCTTTTTTCACAGGGTGTAATCCCCTGCATTCACTGCATTAGCGCCGTAGACCTTAGGATTAAGATTATCTTGCTTATGTGACTTGTGGTCATAGCGAAGGCGCTTAAGGTCGCCCGGAAGGTTGCGCTTGCGCTAGGCACACTGCCGCGTATGATGCTACCCTGTCGGATAACCTCCTTTTTTCCCGTAGTCTTAACCGACTAGGAAAAAAATTTTACCTCTGCGGACTAATCCGCAGAAACCAACAAAGCCTAGATAAGGCTCCCAGGACTGCCCCATAGCCGTGGGCCATGAGGAAAATCCGGGTAATGGGGGCATACCCCGAGCCCCGAAACCTGCAGGACATAAGAATGCCTTGTAGACGACACCACTGAGCTACCCTGTTCGCTCTGATCCAAGAACAATATCGGGAGCAACGAAAAGCCTGTGAACGCCCCTCTCTCAGGGCTAACAATAGATGTTATTGATCTACTTATTCGATTACGATCTTTTAATAATCGGTGTTGTTGGGATGTTGGTCGATTCCGATCTTACTCTACAGTTAGCCCCAGCAACGAAGCCCAAAAATCGCGTTATAAATTTTTGGGCTTCGTTACTTATACAACAAAATTCGAGCGTAAATTTTAATTCTATTGTTGCATGTTATTAGACGACGATAAATAATTGAACAATTAATATTAATAATAAATATACAATTATAAAACTTTCGATTTATTCGACTTTTTATCATATAAATATTAGGTGCAGGTATATCCATGACGTTCAAAACAACACTACGACCACTTCAACAAATCAACAATTAAATGTTTTCCATGCCCACTACATAAAATAATGTGAGATCTCCCCTCTTTCGTCGCCCTTCCGTCTCAGTACTGTCTCGTCCACTGCTTTCTTTGAGAAAACGGCAACATATTGTTGCGCGCCACAATTAACGCCCGGTACATGGCGACACTAGTTACCACTAGAGCTTTCTAGTATCGAGTGGAACTGGGAGAGTCAAGATCCTTATAAAGTTCCATAGAAGAACGTAAAGGGACCTCAGTCTCGTAGTAGAGGTGCATTGAAATTGTAAAATGTTGTGCACCATGGGAGAGGATACCCTTTGACGTTGCGGGGCGGTTTCCGGAAAGTGAAAGTGGTAACAAGTATATTATGGTTGTGATAGATTCATCACTATTTCAATTACTTCACTAAGTCTTCTGTCGTTTTAGAGTACCTTTAGACATTCACAGCGATCAAGAAAGGAATTAATAATTTATAATATATTATATATAAGAAAATAATAACATGATAAGGAAGTGAATAATAACATTCAACTAAACATTACGAACATATTTAATAACTACTTTTATAACAAAACTCTCAAATGAGGTTTTAAATAAAACTAATTTTACGGAGTTAATCGAGTTTAATTTAACTTAGTAAGTTAAATTCAATATCAAGTATACGTGTAGATATAAAAAATTATAAGCTCGAGGTATATTTAACAAACCCCCTGTGATGAGCCTGGATAGGCCATGAAGAAACAGCGGCCTACGTTACTCAATTGTTTAGCGATTGCCAGCGTACAGAGCTAAATACCTAGGATCAATGGGAATTTAAGTAGTAGAGTAGCTATGAGTAGTTCGAGTTGCTCAGATAACATTTGATTCCTGCCTTCATGCAAAATACGCGCTTAGATGTGGAGTTGCAGACACCAACCCAGCTCAATCAGTCCATCAGTATTTCAATCAAACAATACAAAATAAAACGGGTGTTTATAAAAAGCAACGTGTACTTACATTAGCATGGTTCTCAACAAGGCACAGGAAGACAACGTCCTCCCGCATGAGCCGCACGGCGCCATGTAGCGGCTGCGGCGTCTTACTCTTCAGCATGCGGTATAGCAACGCAGAAGACATGTGGGCAAAGTCGTCACCTGCGAAACAAACAAAACTAAGTATATTCTCCTCTCAAATCAAGGTTGTGCGAAAATAAGATGATATGCTGGTAACTCCGGAATCGTCCTATCCTAATGGTAATGATAATAAAGATAATAGTAATATGTTTTAATATTTTCTAGTGCGATTGAGTTGTAATCCTTTTGTAACATATAATGAATGAATGAATGAATGAATATACTTTATTGTACACCACAAACAAATTTACAAAAAACAAAACAAAGAGCAGATTACATGTACAATTTAGCGGCTTTATCGCTACATAGCGATCTCTTCCAGGCAACCAAAGGTATAAAGGAATAAAACAGTGAACACTAGGTAGGTGGTGCAATATAAATATACCTAATATAATATCAGTACATGCAATAAAATAACATAAATAACTAATACATTAAAAATATATATATATATATATATATATATATATATATATATGTATATATAATATATCCTCAAATATATTTCTCAAACAATAACATAAACAAATAAATACAAAAACTACACAATCACATAAATTAATTAATAATTTATCCTAATGATGTTCGAACGATTGAGACAAGTAATACTCTTTAAGATAAGCCCATGTATAAATACGATCCCATCTGGTGGTAAGTGGTGGTCAAGCACGAGATGGTAAATCGTACTGTCTTAAGCTAAGAAAATCTTTCGACCTAAAAGATTCCGACCACGATGACAACCTCTGAATATTTTGAAATGTTATAAATTGCACAAGATATCACAACACTGTTAATGTATTACCTATACTAACAGAGGCACTTATTATGGTCATCACCTACACCTACTCGGTTTCTGATGAACATATATCAATGCTAAAAACAACTGAGCTATTGCACAAAATATGATGACTTCTCGAGAAGAAGTAACGTAATTTCCCGAACGCTGCCCAGCCGAGTTGAATCCGTCGATTGACGAAGTTGGATTTACCTAGTCCGACTATTTGTCCCAGGTAAACGTACTCGTCACAACTTCAAGCTTAGTGCTCCCAACAACTACCGGCATTGGTGTGACATGGACATTAAACATGATCTTTGTTTTGTTCATGTTCATCTTAAGACCTATCCGTTGGGAGGCACCATTGAGGTCATTGAGCTTAGCGCTTAGGTCCTCTTCTTAGGACTTCTTCTCTCTTAGGACTATATCGTCGGCAAATCGAAGGTGAGTGATGTACTCGCCATTGATGTTAATACCGTATCCTTTCCAGTCCAGTAGCTTGAAAACGTCTTCCAATGCAGCGGTGAAGAGTTTCGGGGATATAACGTCACCCTGTCTTACACCTCTCTGAAGTTGGATAGGCTTCGTATTCTGGTTCTGTACTCGGATAGGCATCGTAGCCCTACTGTACGAACACTTCAGCACTTCGATATACTGACAGTCAACTTGGCACCGCTGAAGAGACTGTAGCACCGCCCAAATTTCGACGGAATCAAAGGCTTTCTCATAGTCCACATAAGCCAGGCAAAGTGGCAAATTGTACTCTTCGGACTTCTGTACAATTTGCCGAAGGGTATTTATGTGGTCTATGGTGCCTTTTCGGAAACCGGCTTGTTCGGGAGACTGAAAGTCGTCGAGTCTGCGTGCGAGACGATTCGTAATGACTCTCGAAAACAGCACGTAGACGCGGCTCAGAAGGGATATCGGTGTGTAGTTCTTCAAGAGAACATTGTCACCTTTCTTGAAGAACAAGACCACCGCACTTCTGCACCACGCCTCGGTAGTAGTGCCACCATGGAGGACGAAATTAAAGAGCTTTTGAAGGACTTTAAGTACCGGTGTTCCACCCGCTTTCAGAAGCTCCGCTGTAATTCCATCCTCGCCCGGGGACTTGCCGTTTTTAAGGTGCTGGAGAGCCATTCTAATCTCACTCAGACTGACGTCCGGGATGTCATCGGAATAATGTCGGATAAGACTTGCTCTTGGATCATTACTCACACTTGCGTGTGGCTCCAACGAAGATGTGCACAGCTGCCCATAGAACCTCTTAATCTCACTCAAAATCTCAGGTGTCCCAGAAACGATGCCGCCACACTCAGTCTTTAGCTTTGACAGTTGGCTCTTTCCAGCAGACAGATCTATGACAAAGACTTTGGAGCCTTGGTTCCGCTCAATCGCTTCTTCAATACGAGATGTATTGAAGTTGCGTAAGTCCTGCCGCATGCATTTGGAGATCTGTCTGTTCAGTTTCCCGTATACTGTCAAATCTGCTGACGACTGCAGCTTCATCTCCCGTCTAACATCCATGAGATTAAGAGTGTGATCGGAGAGTTTTTGTGTTCTTCTGCGGCGGGTCTTGTAGAACTTAGCTCCGACCGCATGGACAGTTTCCACGACCTTGTCATTCATATCGTCCACTGTATTGCAGTCATCTAGGCACTGAAAGCGGTTTTGTAACTCGAGCTGAAAAGTTTCGGGATTCTGGATCAGAGCACGAGGGGGACTTCATTAGACGAGACCTCTCCAACTTAACGTTTAGGTTCAGTGTGCCTCTAACCATTCGGTGATCGCTGCCAGTTTTCACCTTAGCGATCACTGAGACATCACTGAACAGTTGGCGTCTGGTTGTCATAACGAAGTTAATCTCATTTTTTGCCGAACCGTCGGTGCTCGACCAGGTCCACTTCCCGTGGGCCGCTTCTGGAAGAAAGACTTCATCATAAAGAGTCCCTCTTTCTCCATAAAGTCGGCCAGCTGCTGGCCCCTACGGTTCCGTTGCCCTACACCAAATTTCCCTAACTTCAGCTCACTGCTTTCTCTTATGCCTAGTTTTGCGTTAAAGTCTCCCATCAACACTGTATAGTGGGTTTTGGAGGAATGCATGGCTTTAGAGACATCCTCATACATTTCCTCCACCTCCTTATCGGGATGTGCCGAGGTTGGTGCGTAAACCTGTATGACCTTCAGCGAATACCGTTTGGTGATTCTGAGTATCAGATACGCAACCCTCGTCGACACACTCTCAATCTTTACAAAATTGTTGACAAAAGACTTAACGATAAATCCGACACCTCCTTGGGACAGATGGTCGCCCTCCCGGTGATAGAACAAGTTGCCGGATTTGAAGACTACCGTGTCCTCCCTCTCTCTTCGGATCTCGGATAATCCTATAATATGCCAGCGCAACTTGTCTAACTCTTCTTCCAGCTCCAGTATCTTCTCGTCAGTCCTCAGGGTGCGCGCGTTATATGTTGCCAGGGCGAGTCGTCGTAGGTGGCAACCGAACCTTAGCACCCCCTGCCCCGCCGTTACCATGGTTGCCACCGTAGCCAGGAATAGCAGGGCCGCCGGGGACTGGGGGCGGTTTGTTCATGTCGTTGCTCATGGGGGGATGTTTGCCATAGTAGCCACGCTTGGCGAGCGGGTTGGCAACCGCAATTTTTTTATTGTGTAATTGTTATCCGGAAGATGCTGCTGCACATCTCCTGCCTGTTTCCCTCTGTCGCCTTTTACGACACGCACGGGAAGACATGGATATTCTCAACCGTCACTACACGGCTAGTGGTCTTACTGGTAAGATTATTGGGAATCTTTGAGATCTACTGGGAATTTTCTTCCCAGAGGTCTTACTGGTAAGATTATTGGGAATCTTTGAGATCTACTGGGAATTTTCTTCCCAGTGGTCTTACTAGTAAGACTACTTGGTAAGACTACTTTTATTTTGACAACTGTTCAAAAGTATTTCGTTTTGGTGGCAAATACCCAATTGTGGTTAGTACTATACTGTTCATCAAACTTACCTGTAAGATCATCCCAATGTGTAGAAATCAAACCAGAGCAATGTTCTTTAAGTGCAGTTGCACTAATTTCATCGGCCGCTGAATAGAACTTCACACAGGTCCTAAAGAATTTTAAAAAATTGTCAAATATTGTCTTTTTTATTAAAATATACTATGAATTATGAGGAATAATAAAATACATGATTATCAACGGCAAAAGGCAACCTCTCTCTCTCAAATCTCATTTGCCCCCTCTCCTATAATAAAAGATACACCAATGGATAATATTTCAATGTCCGCGCCTACTGGCCTATAACCTCAGCAAACATCTTGACTTAGTAATCAGTGAACACGACTTGTACACCGGTTGGGCGTACGCAGGGAGGAAAAACATGAAGCAGGAGCTGTGTATATAGTAAATAAATTGCTAAAATAGTCTTCCAACTATTAATTAATTTCATGTATTTTTACTTTTTTAAAACTCATATTGTAGTTATAATTTAAACTTAAATTGCGAAATCGTTTATAATAACATACGGAAAGGACGACTCATGGCATGTATATCGCGTACTGGTCTAGTGTAGAAGAGACCGAGCGGGCATGCCAGGGAGTCGGTATCTTCCTTTCAGAAAAAATGGGTCAATGTGTGGAAGAGTATGAATGTGTAAGCCCGAGACTGCTATAGATGCGAATGAAAGTGGGCTTAAGGAAGTTGTTTGTTCAGTTTTGGGAGATGGTAAGGGTAGTGTTAATGAAATGTAAGGGAAATGAAAATATTGTTATGTTAGGAAATTTTAATGGAAGGGTTAGGGTGAAGAGGCTTGGTTATGAAAGGATATTGGGAACGTTTTGCTTATGAAAGTATAAATGAGAACAATGAAGGCTTCCTCACCGTATGTGTGTAAAATAATATTTTTGTGACGAACACTTTCTTTCGTCATAAGAAGATTCACATATATACCAGTGGCGAAGCCTCCATACAAGCCCAGAAGCCGTGCTTGTTCTATAAAAATGCTCAATCAATAATATCAATTAATAAGATAATTCGTAAACTGTTTCAAACTATTTCAAAGGGCATGACCTCAAAGCATATAATATGTAACGTCAACAATTGGCAGTTTGCTTTCAATTCGAAATACACAGGACTGTCAAAATTAATTAAAGCAAGAAGTTGATTTTGTCGTCTCTCTCGCACTCATTGGCTTTTTACCGGGCTTTCGAGAAGACGACCACTCCCTTCCTAACCTGTGGCAAAATGTTCTAAAATGAAATATATCTACAAAATGTTTATATAGCAATTACTATGGAACCAAAAGCCGTGCTTTGCCCTGAACTTGTTTGGGAATGCATTAGCGAGTACAATACGTATGTAATATATTACGTATGTAAGTTCACTTCACATTTCAATATTTATGTTTTTTTTTTGTTTTTGTTGTGTCTGTTAAAAATTTATGCCTTTTCAAAGATTTTTAGTGAAAATGGAAGGATAATAGTGTTCTCGTTTTATAGTGTGTTAAAGTGCTAATCGGCGAGGAAAACGTAAAATCTTTAAAAATGAAATTTTAATTCAATAAACATTTCTTCACACTTTTGCAGTCTGACCAAGCACATATAAATTATATATTGTTCTTGTTTAATTCACATAGCGTTTGTAGCTTATATCACCAGCAGATAACAGACATGTCTATTATCTGCTGGTGTACCTATCTGCACTGTGTGTCTTATGAGAATCGGCACAATATGATTTTTTGCATTCCAACAAAACATGTATTGTGTTTTGAATACACACACACATTCATATTAAAAAATATATAATGTAAAATATTTAATGGGTAATATTCTTTTTATTTCTAAAATTTTGAGAGTAATTCCTAACAATAGTAACTTTGGTTAGTAATAGATGATACACAAAACTGTACAATCTAGTTAAGGGTCTCGTTATTTTGTTACATATTAATTAATATCAAACTCCAGGATGGTGTGAGGCAACATTATCGACAGTTATGTAAATCTCAAAACTTGCAAACAAGATTGTGTAAAACCAGTGCATAATGCTAGTAGATATATGGGATCTGAGAGGTGTTCTTTCACTGCTGGCCGTATGAAGAAGCTCTAGATCGCTCAGAAGCTATGGAGAGGGGTATGCTTGGATTTCTCTCTTGTCGCCGACGCAATTGCAAAATTAAAAGATTTGAAGTAATAAATAATAATGTTCTCCAGACTGAATATCGGTTACGGTAAACAGAGAGAAGCCAACTGTGCAAGACATGATTATAGTAATAGTGCACGAGTATGTGCACAAGCTCAGGTGCAGTCACTTTCTATTACGCTTATAGCCCAATGGAATGGCAACCCGACACAAGCAAAGTGAAATCAAGCACAGTACCATTGGCTTTACGTGCTTTCCGAGGCAAGAGGGTGAATCACAGCCAACTTCAAGACTCCGGGTTACTACTAAGAATTTTCGTCACATAACTGATTTCTCGACCGACTCGGGATTCGAACCCGGGACCACAAGACCACAAAACTGTTATGCACAGCATCCGCTTACCATCAGGTAAAGTGTGTCCATTTATCGCAAATAATCCATGAAAACATAAATGGAATTAAAAAGCAGCATCAAAACTATATTCGCCGCCGCAGGCATCGATTTCCTATTAATTAATTTACTGTGTTGCCGGTTACATAATCTGTTCACATTTATGGAATGGCTTCTTGATAGACAAAGCCAAATAAAAAATAATTTTTAATCTGTAATTCGTTGACAAATTTGAAGATATTGTTAGTTGAAAATCGTCAGTAATCGCACCGCCGGAGACCCGTGCTGTCAAGTAGCCACAAAGGGAATGACGGCCCATTGATTAAAACATTTATATCAGACTGAAAACTTTTGACTATGCTACTGTATGACACAATATTGAAAAACTTTGAAAAATTTATATGTGGTAGAGCCATGCTGCAGTTATATTAGTAGTATAGTTGTAGCACGAATGGGTCGGCTCGAGCGAGGAAGGACCACACTCTCACAGAATAGCAGCGTAAAATAGTAGCATAATGCTGCTGTGTTTCGTATGGTGAGTGTAGACAACCGGAGACCTTTTTTACTGGAAACTAGGCATTCCATCTTAGTCCTCACGGGTGACAACGCATCTGCATTTTGATTCGTAATCGAGGATAGATGTAGATGTCTATGGGCCGCAGCAATCACTTACCATCATGTGGACTCTGTGCTTGTTTATCACCCTATCCTATTAAAAAAAACTATAAAAAATTATAAACTAAAATTATTAAATTGCCTAATCGCATTATAATTACAAGAACTCTGTTTTTTTACTAAAGACTGTACTTATACTCAGGGTGAGAAAGAATCAGTTGTTGTCATATTTACCTTACTCCAACTGAAGTTATAAGTGCTTGTTCACATTTTCCAACCAATCCGTACAGCTTAAAGCCAGCAGCACATTTCATAAGATGTAATGCAAAAGCATCACCTCTAGATAGATCTACCACATCTGTGTATAACCATTTAAGTAGTGCTGAACCAACATCATCTGGCAAATTAGACCAATCTGGAAATAATAACCACAGAAAACTTTACTTAACTGCTCAACAGCTACTATTATACCTAAAATATTCTGCTAAACATTTTAGTTCATCATAGCAAAATCGCAGAGAAATACTTTCATATGTTGTAAAAATAAAATACAAAACCTCCGCCAGACAATGTAATAATACAGTATTATGATATAAACAGTATATTATATGGAGGTATGTATGTACATAATAATTATTCAAATGATTAAAGTGATTAAGCTGGACCTAGGCTTTACTCAATTATTAAATGATCACACAACCAATTGATAAATATAATATGGGCCAAAGCATCTACCTACCACCAGGTGCATCTGTGTGCTCATTTGTCGATACTATTTTTAAAAAAAATTGGCTGACCCTGTAGGCCACCCCTGGAACTTCACTTTCACTTCAAATGCAAAGCCCTCCAAATTTCACTAAATTATTGTTGCGGGCCATTGAGCTATTATATACTATGTACTAGAGGCGATACTGCATTCAGCTACTCTGTTCCACTTAATTGCGGTGCATGCAGCGCACTTTAATCAAGTCACTCGCTAGACGCTTGTAGAGTTGTCACATCATGTTGTGTTGATTCAAAAAATCTCTTGATAAAAATATGCCGTTGTGTGTACTTGGATATTGCACAAATAATTCAAGAAATGTCAGAAAAACCAAGGTATTACTTTTCATCGGTTAATAAGATACTTAATCAATAAAAAAGTATTATAAATTATTAATAAAACAAATTATTCCTAAGACGCCATCTTGTGTCATGTAATATAAATTATGAAATTAATTTGTTCAGATGCGGCATTTCTGTGGGTACTTAAGTATAGGACGAATATATTATTATACACATGTAGAAACATATATGAGTTATCATAATTATGCCAATTTTTTATATTTAAATCTGCTCATTATTCTTTTATATTATTTTTAGGTTTCCACATCAAAGTCAAAGTGGAATAAATTCGTCCATTTTTAACTCTCGCATGCTTAGCATTTATGAACGACTCTTATTCTAATTTAAATAAATATATTTGTAATTTAAATTTTACATTTATAGGTTTTGTTAAACATACATTTAGTATGTTTTTTTATATTTGACATAGATACCTTTTAAAATATATGGATAAAAATATCATTAAAATGTAATTGTGATATAATATTATGTAATATTATATTAAATAAGCACATGTAATATACAAAATAAATGACAAAATTTGAAAATTGTTCTCGATATAATTTACCTATTTAACAATACAATCTATTATAACCTGCTGATCATTCTACCTATGTTTATTCTATCATAAAAAAACAAACCGCGCGAACACAGAGTAGCGCACATGTTTTGTTTTAAATAGCTGTTCTAGTACGTAAGTACATATTACTTCAATGTTGCGGGCTATAATTTATGCCCGGTATATGGCGGGTGATTATTAGCGCCATCTCATCCATCAAGTAACAAAAATAGGAGCGTTAAGATATTTCTAGAACTTTCCCACTAGCGCCATCTAGTGTCGAGTGGCGAGGGCTTTCTGGAGGATTCTTTGCTAGAATTTTCGACATTCTACTCGAACATTCTAGATGTTTTCGGTGGAAAAGGTCCTATATAAAGTCGGTAATGAGCGCGACCGGGTCAGAATTGAATTGGCGATACGAGAGAAGACTTTGGAGCGAAATACAGTGAACTAAAGTGTAAAGTGCAATTAATTATTAGTGTATTTTAAGTTTTAATCGGTATTCGGTAATCAAAGTGTCAATTTTGCTAATTCAATCTGCAGTTTTTATTGTCACAAACCCTCTCTGCATTGCACTGCATCTCAAACGATCAAGACTTTCAAAAGTTGTGAAAGGTTTATACACACACACACACACCCGCGCGCGCAAACGTACACGCAAACGTACACGCGCCCGCGCACGCGCGTGCTATGTCCTAGCCCTTTATATATTTTATAAATATTTCTATTATTTGTCTAAACTAAATTGCTTGGACTTTACAATAACGGAGCTGAACAAAAAAGAAATTCAAAACCAAGCATGATATGGGGATGTATTTTACTTTTGGGATGGGACACAAGGTCTGAGAGGTGCAAATGAAATTAGTTTGTGTTTTTTTGATTATCTTTCCAATTTGTGGATGCATTATCCTAATGACAGATTAAAATTACATTTATTCCGACAATTGTACTGGTCAAAAGTCAGGATAAGAACAAAATTATGGCTAGTATGTATTCATATACTTTTTTTTTCAATTTTAGAATAAAGAGAGCATCACACATAAATTTTTAATTAAACGTCACACACAAAATGATGCTGACAATGTGCATGCTCTGATTGAAAAAAATTAAAAAGGCATGAAAAATCCAGATCTATCTATACTCCTCATCAATTCATCCCACTCAAAAAAAAGTGTGTGAAAAACCGGAAAACCATTCAATGTTAAAGAACTAACTCATGATTTATTTTTCAATATGAAAATGCTGCAGGATGAATGGGTTTACAATTATAACAAAATATTGATAAAGAGAATATTCTATGGGGTGATATCAAAGTCCTTAAATTTGTAAAAGATAAGCTGTTAACCATATATTATAAAACTTCTTATACACAGGCAGAATACTATAATTTTATTATTAACGTAATAACATTTTTCGTGTACTACACCTCATGATATATTATCTAAGTGTTTTGCTTTTAGTGCTTTACGGTTTGGATATTTAAATTGTGAAGTTTTTCTAATGAATCGAAACATTAAATTGTTTTTAAACTTTCATATCAAAAATTATTATTGATTTCCTGCAACAACATATGAGTATTTAGTTATTGATTTTCGAGTGATGTTTTTTTCGATTGCAAAATCTTATTTTTCGTATGTTTTTTTTTACATGATTTAGGGGTAGAATTTTAAGTTTAACTTTACAAGTGGCTATTTTGTTCTTTTTTATTTGCTATGATTATTTTCTAATGTTCGTGATTATGACTAATGATAACATTACTTTAATTATTTTTCTTTAATTCAGAGTACAAAGATGCGGGATATTTTTGTTTGTTTCTTTGTTCTAAATATTATATGAGCAGTATTAAAGTTGTGTAAGTCCTGCCGCATGCATTTGGAGATCTATCTGTTCAGTTGCCTGTATGCTGTCAAATCTGTTGACGATTGCAGCCTCATCTCCCGTCTAACAGTCATGAGATTAAAGAGTGTGAACGGAGAGTTTTTGTGTTCTTTTACAAATTTTATTTTCCAATTATAACTTTGTTTTATTGACCTTGTTTAAAACACAGCTTACTATTTTTGTATTACACCAACTCTTACGAAAATAAGATTAAAGATGAACCTTAATTTAAGCAACCAACAGGCCTATTTATAAATATTATGACTTTAATGAGTCCTTTTATAGACTATAGTCTTATTTTTAAATATAATACCATAACCTATTTAAGAGTGATTATTACAGTGTTTCCACAGTGATTTACAATTAAATTAACAAAATAAATGTTACATGATTTCAAAAGTTTGAACTTTCAGGTGAAAATAGTAACTAGGAACAAGAAGTAGCTGATAAATATTTACGAAAATTAATATCTCAATATCAGTGTATTTCTGCAATATTATTATATTGCAGAAAGATACTGTTTAATAGTTTTATCCTAATTTATAAATTAAGATAAAACTAACTCATATAAGATCTTTAAAGAGTTAAAAGTTTGGACTTTCAAATCAATTGTAGTTATTTTCGAGTTGAGTTGTGTTTCTAATCAATAAATTTTTAAGGAAATCAAACTTACCTAATTCTGTAAGGTTCTTGAGGGCCCCTTCATTCCAGTCATCTGAACGAGCATTTAATACGAACTTGTGCCCAGGAACAGACTTACTTTGCAGTTTAATATTTATATCTGAATATGTCTCCCTGCCATAAAGAGCTGACACCGTCATGAGTAACCGTGCTACGAAGCTTGTTTCACTCAGATCGCCGGCCGATGCTGCTGCAAGAGTATACTTCCTCTCTACTTCAGCACAATGACTCTGAAGTTTGCTGTACTCTTCCTTTAGTAATGACAAATGCTGCTGAAGTTTTGTTACTTCACTGGACGCTGAACAAAAACAAATTACAATTCCTTGAAATTATCAACACCGCCCACTATTCAACAATAGATATACATAAACTGTTTTAGATACTTACCCATAATGCGAACGTGTTTTAAACTTTAAAGCAATCTGGTCAAATGTTTATAAACAATATTACTTATTTTAGTGAAAAAGAAAATAGCTGTCGGCAAAATACTAAAAAATAGGGTTGTTCGATGATCATCGATGTTCGATAATTATCGATGTTAAAAATTAAAACATCGACGTCAATAAACCCATAATCGATTATTGGAAGGTTATTTTCAAAAGTTGGCTCAACATTTTATCAACAGAGAAACAGATTGTAAGTTACTTCTTTGTCAATATTACTATCTCTTCAATCAACAGCAAAAAATATTGGACTGTATAAAAAATGAAGTAGATATTTGTAAAGTTTTCCAATTTTTGTAAACGACAGTTTTAAACTATGTACATTGTGTCTTTATATTCTTTTATTTCATTTTAAATATACCGTAAACAACATGTCTATTTTTTATTCACCTAATTCTAACGTATTCAATGCATGGCAAAACGATAATGTTCAACATCGATGTGGGATAAACATTGAACATCGATGTTGAGCTATCGATAGCAACATCTATGTCATCGAAGTTTCTGCAACATCGATCATCTCTACTAGAAAGTGACAATTAAACTAAACTACCATTGATTTTTTAAAAGCAAAGGAATCTATGGTCATACAGTCTAACTTAATGTCTTGTTTATATTAATAAATAATCGCTTACTATATATTTATGTGTTACATTGACGAAGTTTAGGGGAGATGTCAAAATCTCCCCTAAACTTCGTCAATGTAACACATAAATATATAGTAAGCGATTATTTATTAATATAAACAAGACATTAAGTTAGACTGTATGACCATAAACTATGTACATTGTGTCTTTATATTCTTTTATTTCATTTTAAATATACCGTAAACAACATGTCTATTTTTTATTCACCTAATTCTAACGTATTCAATGCATGTGCAAAAACATCGATAATGTTCAACATCGATGTAGGATAAACATTGAACATCGATGTTGAGCTATCGATAGCAACATCTATGTCATCGAAGTTTCTGCAACATCGATCATCTCTACTAGAAAGTGACAATTAAACTAAACTACCATTGATTTTTTAAAAGCAAAGGAATCTATGGTCATACAGTCTAACTTAATGTATTGTTTATATTAATAAATAATCGCTTACTATATATTTATGTGTTACATTGACGAAGTTTAGGGGAGATTTTGACAATGCCTTAACCCAACAGTTAATAGACAATTATTCCATTAAGAGAGTGATAGTATGTCATGCCGCCTGAAGGATAAAATAATTTGAGGTTCAAAACATAATGACTTTTATATCATAATTAGAGTCTTGACCTCTACAAGTACATTGAACTGACACAATGCACATGATAATTGATAATCCGAGATAATCCGCCACGACAAGATAAGTAGTGGGGAGGCTCGCTGCTGCCTTGCTGGATACAAAACGCACCCAGCGTGTCCAGCAAGCAATTGAAAGTAATTATTGACGTACGTCAAGCTCAAGCCTCTCATTGTCGATTATACTTATTATACTCTTTGTTGTCGTGCATGACCTTTCGGTTTCGGGACGTAAAAACCTTATCAAATAAAGTATGCAAATGTCTTAGACCATACAATCTAGTCTGATGTGTATTTTGTTTTCAAATTTTTTTACAGTAGTTTATTATTGCGTCACACTCACATTGCAAAATTTTCGTGAGATATTGATGACAATTGACAACTAAACCCAGCAGCGGATACCGGACCGGACAATTGATGACATAGAATACATGTATATATCGAGTAAGTTGATGACAATCACAAAGTAATAAGAGTGCAAGAGATGACAATAGTTTATACATGTAACCATATAGCCACATAGGCAACTCTTGGTATAGTGGGTATAGTATATTATCGTCATCGACTGTCTGCTTATCCCAGTTTAATGCATAGATAAAGGATATTCTTTATCTATTAGTTTTTAATTTTATATAATATTTTGCTGTAGTATGTAGGTACCTACGTAAAATAGCCTATGATGAAAATAATATTTGTTATCATTTAAGAATGTTTGGGGTCAGCCTCAATAGATGTCTCTGCATCACCGAAATCTAAATCTATTTTCAAGATAACCTTCAAGTGATTTTGTCAAATGAATTGATAACAAGCATCAGCAGTTTCGGACTTTAGTTGGTTCTCTAAAATTTGACGTTACAGTTAGTGGTTTACTTTTACAGTCAGTATGAATTCTTTAAACAGAATATTATACATAAGTTCGTCTATCCCTAAGAATACCAGGTAAAGAAATACAAACTTTTTTATTTCCGAGGGCCTACTTTTAATTTCTTAAATATTAATGTTAAGTTATTATTCTAGGTTGATAACAACAACAAGTACTTATCAAATTTCCGATGATGGATGGCTTTCAAAGTTGCTGGTGCGAAGGATAGAACCAACGAAAGAGTCTCACAGCCGTATGCTAAGCGACAAAGAAATTGTATACGCACTTCACACGCATAATATTCGCCCAGATTCTGTGGATAAATATTTAAAAAACTAGTATGTTCTAAATTTATTACGTTTCATACCCAGACATACAGCCGGTAAAGTGTTTCTGATTATGCAACAAGCTTAAATTGATAGTTGTATTTAAAAGTGTAACATTTGAGGATGAAGAATTTTATATCTGTCAACAACCCTTGACCTTCCTAAGTGTAAATAATGATAGGTTAAGAATAATTTGCATTTAGTGGATTTAACAGAAATATGAAGTTTAATATATCATTATCATAATAAAAAAGCATAACTTTCTATGGACTCCGTACAGTGCACATCCTACTAAGTCATCACCACATTTAGTAGGGGGCTACCAGCCTATGCTGCTTGCCTTTGTAGGAGACTACCACATACCTCTTTCCTGCAGGTTGTCTGTTTTATAATTTATGTGACTGGTCTTTACTTCAGCTTCCCTTGTTACTCTGTTTCCATAGTGGAAATTCTTCAACATATAGTATTAGTATATAATAATATGCAAATTAAAATATAATATCTCCTTACTATTGAACTGTCTGATATTTCTTTAAAAATATAATTGGTGGGACTTACAATGAAATGACAAATTTCACATTTGTGTAATAATTATTGAATTAGTAACTTTGCCATAAATAAAATTTAAACTGAATTTAATTTATAATTCTTCTTTCATTGAAGAAATTACAAAGTTAGGTTATTTAACTTTTCCATTATTATATAAGTATTTAAAACATATAAGATGCATATCTTAAAAAAATCCCTTGTTATTTTTACAGTAAAACATCAGTTGAATTTGTAACATCGAGAAAAGCTGAGCTTGGCTGTGAGTTGGTGGGATCATGGACAGTGTCAGTGGGAGATATGGATCAAGCATTACATCTATGGCGCTATGTAGGCGGCTTTGAGAAAATTGACAAAGCTAAAATTTTATTTAAAGAGAGTCCAGTAAGTAAAAATCAACTGCATAATATCCTACACCTTTAAACGAGCAATTCTTGTATATATATATATATATATATATATATATATATATATATAATCGGAATCTCAGAAACGGCTCCAACGATTTTCATAAAATTTAGTGTCCAGGGATTTTCGGGGGCAATAAATCGATCTAGCTAGGATTTATTTTTAGAAAATGTCCTTTTGTCCGTGTTTTCAGGTAATAAAAAACTGCTACAATATAAGAAGGTAAATTTTGACAGATCACTTACGATCGTTATAGCTCAGGTGGGATGTCGGTCGGGCGTGATATCGGAGTTCCGTGGTTCGCGTCCTGTCTCTGGTCTGGCTTTTTCCTTTTTTTTCAAGTTGCCTTCTTTTGTGAGAAAATCTATTATTTCGAGCCCTTTTTTTAGTATTTTTTAAAAATACGAAAATTTTAATTAAATAAATTGCACTCATGATTTTTTATTCAAATAACCAGTTCAGTTTTTTCTATTATGTCAATAAGATCAAAAAATATTATTCATCAGTATGTAATTTGTATCTAAATGTAATTTAAAAAAAAACCGAGCAAAGCTCGGTCATCCGGGTACTGGCTATAATATGCCATGTTTATCCCAAATGTCAAACCCCACTGACATGGCAATAGGAATCAATTGGTGTCAAGAAATACATCCATAAGACTGATTCTGTATTCCACATACTGTGAAAAAGATGTAGCATTTTGCATGAAGGGGTACGGGCTCTGCTCTCTTCAATCCACTTGCTCAGTATGAGCAATTTTATGAAGTATTTTATTAAGTCATAGCATTCTCTTTACTTTACTTTTTCTCTGTACACTTGCTCAGTATGAGCAATTTTTTGAATTATTTTATTAATTCATAGCATTCTCTGTACCCTTCGAGTATTTAACCAAAGGAGGCGGCATTGCAAGGCATACCCCTCTGTCAAAGAAACATGAGTTATATAAAATTATTTGCTCCGTGACGTGCGCTATTCTGCAGGTGATTGTGCCAGTCAATAGAGCTCCGACAAAAATGCCGAATTGCAGTGTATTTATTTTCATGCAAAAAACACTCAAAAACATCCAAATCTACAAAACGACAAAGTGACTTTTCATCTGTGAATATTTTTAACATAATATTATCCTTAAAACTAATATTTTCGTAAAATACCAATTTTTGCTATTTTTAAATAAATATAATTTACTACACAAATTAAATATATTAACGAAAATTTATTTCCTGTAAATTAAGTCAGTTTGTGATGAATAATAATCATAACATTAAGATGGGTAGTGGATTTTGTAAAATGATTCAAATATTCAGCTCAATATCAACACGATTATAAATATATTATAATTTAATATAATAGATAACTAGTATTTATCAAAATATTATACAAAATAAATTAGTCAAATTTAAAATTTGTAACCTCATGTGTATGCATTTTTTATAAAATAAACTGGTATCACTGCAACTGAAAGTACTGCAATGTAGTTATGTACACCACAACTTTAGCTATCGATAAGTTAATTAACCATT